TTGAGGCTTTAATGCATACGGTAGAAAAGCCCAATACGTAATGAAAACGACTGTACAAGTATGTAGGAAAAAGTAGAAATGGCAGTCACACCTGATAGAGCACCACTGTCTCTGTCTTAAAGCCTAACCGAGTAGCTAACTCTCTCAATATTATCGTTTTGCCAGATCCTCTAGCACCTAAAATGGTGGTTAAATACCAAAAACAAACAATAAAAAGCAGTAATACCTATGAGAGCAAAATCTCCTACAGAATGTGCCACAGCGAGATCAGCGATAGTCTTTTCAGAAGCCGGTGTGGACATAAAGTGATTATTCAGTAAGGGTGTAGCTGCCTAAAACGCTGCCGAAATCAACGGTATCTATTAGGTTGGCTAAAAATAAATTCTTTTTGGCATGCAATTCTTCATAAAAATTTTCTTGTTGTTTTCTACTCATGATTCTTTGTGGGAAGATAGTCCAAATCTTCCACTATCACATATCAAATATTTAGGATTCTCTATCCTTAATACAGACAGTTATGCCTCAACATATTTCCAAAAACCCAATTCTACGACTTCCTTGACCTCGTTTTCAGGCTGTACCGGAAGTAGAGAACAGCAGCTCGCTAACTGGATACGGAGAAGTTTCCACCAAAGAAATAACAATGAAAACTGTATCTGCCACTTTGAAAACTTCCATCAAAAAAATTTCAGGTTCGCGCACTTTAAGGAAACTGAGGTTTCTCACTTCTTTGCAATTTTTTCTTTGGGAGATAAGTTCTACTTGAACAGAATTTACATTCCAATTCCCATTAAATGCTGTTTCCAGAGAGATATCAAACGGACAAAGATTTGTCTGCAGCATTTGTAAGAACCGCAAAAGCGACCGAACTTATTCATTAGCCAACTTAATACTTTATCACTTAAACCAACCTGCATTTTTGCTGCGTTCATTGGAGCTGCTTTCGCAGATGACTTCGAATCGGATCTCGAAAGCTTGCCCTCAACAGATAACGTTGCGCAGTTATTTAAACCTCACAACTTCAACCTACCTCATTGAGGAATTTCGCTACGAAATCTTCTACAAGTTTTACTTGATCTTCTTTGAACATGCTTTTACATGGGTATATGAAGTTGAACATTTCCGCAGCTGAGTACGAGGGGACAGCATTCTAAACAAGTGGGTTTTCTATTTTGTCAAGACTTTCCTTGTCAATATGAATGCGGTTTTGGCAAGGTACGCTGCAAATGGCTTTGTAACACTTTGCTGCAGTGTTCATAATGATCTAACAAGAAAAAATAATAATAATAAGATACTAAGTCGAAGCTGCTTCGGATGTGGAGCACATAGTGGGATAGAAATAGGACTATTCCAACTCATCTTTCCTATCTAACTCTATGCTTTTCTGCACTTACGGATACACACGACTATGAATTGAAACGAAATCTGACGAATAACCAGATTCAATTCGTCTCAAGCTCTGTTCAACTATGCGTCATATCTCGAACCTGCTGCATTGAATGTCCTATCTAGTAAAAGCACATTAAACTCACTGTGCACGCTGATGATGAGGTGGGAGTAATGGAAGAGCACGTACCCACATTCGCATGATTCTGGGGATGAGATCGACTGGAACTTGAGCGATGCCGAGATCGGACTGCGAGTTGATTGCGTAGATCATAGAAACCAAATCATTGACAGAGTTTGAGGGCACTTTGGGGGCTAAGTAATCGCACATACGTCGAGTGGCCTAGAAAAAAGTCCACTCTCTTTACTGTTAAACGCTAGTTTTTAGTAAGAAAACAGAGGTACAATTATATTCTGTGGATAGGCAAACTCTGCATACCCCTTCCCCGTCCCATCCAACACATAAATTAGATAACCTCGAAAGTTGGTTCCTGGACGTTGCGACATTGGAACCTCGAGCGTAAAGGCGGGTCCAGAGAGTTTCCTGTGAAGCGAGGGACCGGCAGACCAAGTGCTATTATGTGAAAGCGTTCAGAGACCCTCTCGATACCCATTTCGTGCAACTGTGCAGCTGTGTAGTCCTGACAAAGCAAAGAGAAAGCTACAAGAGTAACTGAAAGAAAACGAAAGTTCAAATGAAATGATGCAACCTCACTTTTGACAGTTTATCATACTTGCCATGATGCATCAAGAAGCGACCGTCCTCCAGTTGCATCTCCCTGAATTTATACCATCATGGTTAGTATACATTAGCCATGATGGACCTTCAATTCGGCAAGAATGTTGTATTGTGTCGAGAAAAAGATTATCGAAAATATACAAAAGACGAACAAGCAAATGTAGTCACTTGCTATAGACTACAAACGACTGTCTTTTTGTAACTTAGCTTCTGTAGACCCAAGCATACCTATTCTCTAAAAGATTGTTCAGAATGGGAAGCACATTCCGCTCCGCCTTTTCTACGCCATCGATGACCAATACGCGACCATGAAGAGCAGCTCGGACAGCACACTATAGATATTGATACAAGCAAAAAGTTCGGGGCAATTACTGCACCTACAAGATCGGAATAGTGGGCTGTGCCACCACGGATTTCTCTGCGTTGCTTTATGTCAGCTTCTGTCGTATCACGCGTTACTGCAAGGTATTCGTACTCCCGATTACACAATTCCTGAGTACCGCTGATGATAATGGTCAAACATGAGGCACAAAGGACACAACGAATCCAAAGAGTCTATTTTTTGTAATTTCCGAACTTACCAGGTATTGCAACACGATATCCGATCGAAAAGATCCTGGTACGCCTATCAAAAATATGTCCTGCCCCAAGATCTCCTTTTGAAGCATCCATTTCAGGTGTGCCAAAACATCACTAGAGGAATATTGAATAGCAGGACCTTCAATATAAGGATCAAAAGTGATAACAAGATAATGATAACACAATGTTAATAATGACTGCCACTCGACTTATTCGTTGAATGCCTTTGCTCTCTATCTAATGTCTAGCGTCTTGAGAAAAGGAACCCTTACCGCTGCCTCTGGCAGGTACGAGTTCAGGTCGCGTAGCGCCCACAATCGGAACTCGCAGCGATCCAACTTTCAGCACTTTTTTACGTACGTCCGCATTGATTTGAGCTGGAAACGTTTTTTATCGTGTCCAAAAAGACGACAGTACTAATTGCAAGACCTACCTGACAACAACCGCTTCGACGCTCTGCTCAACATAAGTGCTGCACAGGCGAAAAGATAAAATAAGCTTAAAAAGCCTAGAATTTTCTTTTTTAATAAAAAAAA